TCTCATTTCAGGCAGAAGTTTTGTCCTATCTACCACTTTTTTTTAGATGTTGTTTGTTATGAAATATGTGTTTTTAAAACTCCTACTGGGACTATTTTCATTAGGCTCTAGTAGCCTGATTGTACTAAATCAGTTTTGACTTCATACTACACTTGTGCAGACGTAATTACCTGAAGTTCAGAGTAGTTATTTCTAGTTTACACTAGCAATACAGGCCCTACCAAGTGTGAGTCACCTGTTAATTCTTTTCAGAATGAGAAAAAAAATCTACATTTTTATCATTATTTTTTAATATACAAGCTTAATGTAGATCTATGAGTAATACATTCCACAACAGAAAACATGATTTAATGGATGTGGTTGTTCTTTTAGTGTGGCACGTGCATAGCGGGAAAGAAACTGAACCTAAACAGATTTGGTAATTTCTCTAAGCCTTATTGCAGGCATGAGCACTGGACAGCCCATAGGTGCAGGAAACTGTAACACTGCCTTCTTTAATTCATCATCATTCTTCCTCTGTGTCAGTTTGGTTTTCTTATCAGAAAATCACTCATCCCTTGAGTTTGACTGGAAGATGCACGTTTCCAGGTTTATCCCAAAGCTTCTGATAAAGACAATTTTGAGCAGCCAGGTCCTCCTAGCATATCTCTTGGAGAGATAGGCCAGGATAGATTGTCCTACATTTTTTACAAAGAAGCAAGGAAACATCAAACCAAATAACCCCCTCCCTCCAGTTTACTCCTATTAATATAGTGGCTAATTGCAGTTATCCATTGGTTAAGGTATTATAAGAGGCACCTTCTAATTTTGTTGTTTGCAATGATCATATTTAATGGGAGGTAGGTGCAAGTGGTGGCTTGCAAGCTTAAATCAGGTAGACATTGACACTGTCTACTTTTTCAAAAGCAGTTTGAAGGCCATGTTTGAAAACATTTGTATAGTGCCAACATCATCTTTTTATAATGTTGGTAGGTGGCATTGTCAGGTTTGTTTTATTTATTTTTTTGGTGGGGGGAATTCTTTTTTTTTTTTTTTTTTTTTTTTTTTTGCTAGATGTCAGCAGTAGTATGGATGCAGCTGCTAGGGACATTCTTCTTAAAGCAAGTGTATGCAGTAGGGATGCTGAATCTACATTCAACAGTTCCTGTAGTTATATTGTCTTCAACTGTAACATGCAAATTCAGTGCCTGTAAACTCAGTCACTAACTCACTACACATAAACCTTAACTGTAATTGGACTGCAGGTGTGGAAACAATAAACAATAATAAAAAAAAAATGTATTTATGTTTCTTATACCCCCTATGGCTACACAAATGCCCTTTTCCTAGTACTGTCATCTATGGTATTGCCAAGTTTTCTAATGCAGTAAAAATCTTCTTGAAAATAAGGATTGGTAAAGGTGTAACCGATAAGAAAAATGATGTTATTACTCAAATGCAAACAGCACCCTAGGGCTGGGTTACCTCTTTAAAGTATACAAGAAACTTTTGGCTAATCAGGAGTTTATGAAAGGTATTTTTGCTGGAATGTGAAGGTTGGCTGAAAGAGAAACGCTTTACAAAGTCACTGACTGATAAAGGGAAAAGTTGTTCTGACAGTACTGCAACAAAACATAGAAGACTTCCAGGGGAAAGCAGTGACTGGTAAATAACAATTTGAAATTTTAAAATGTAAAATTTATATATCAGGAAAAAAAAAAAATAGATTTCTTGGGAAGAACACAATGTGATCAAGCTGCACTAAAATGGCCAAGCAAGCAGGACTTTTTTTCAGCGTTTTCATTTTGTAAGCAAATTTAGTGAAGTTGTATGTTTGTTAGAATACAAACTTACAACTCTGCAAAAATTAAATTTCTATTCTTCTTTGTTCTGTAATTAAAATAAAAATTCCCTTTGAATCAGATGGGCCCAAGTGGGCTTCTGCCTTTATATATTATCATCATGAATACTAGTAAGCTAGACTCTCAATACTTCTGTGAATGTTCTTTTACTCTTTTGCATCCATTCAGATTTAAATAGGTAATTCTTCACACGTTAAAGTGTAAATGAAATATTTTATTTTTTTTTCTAAAGTAAATATCTAGGACTTCTATGGTTCTAACACCGTCAGAATACAGAATTAAGACCACGCTTGAGTACCTTTTCTAAAAGTAATATCAAATGAAATATTTGACAGCCAGGATACCCTATTCATGAATCTTATTAAGCATAAGATAGTAATACATTCTTTTTTTTTTTTTTTTTTCCCCATTTTTTTTTCTTATTTTTAAGAAAGAATACCCCTTGTTAGGGTATCCTGGGCCTATCAGACTTAGCCACAGTTTTCTGTTTCCAGTATTATCAGAGATGAAAAATCAGAGCTTGATGCTCACAGCAGTAAAGCAGTTATAACAACATTACCTACACACTCAAAAGGTGGGGACCACCTGTAAGTGTCTGGCTGAACAACAGGATGTTGATCTTGCACTTCTCATTATGGTTCACACTATGTTCCCATCACTGCTTTTTAAGTGTAGAGCTCATTAGCTTTACTTTAAAATACAGAAGCAAGGCTGAACTCAAGTAGGATCAATGCCCTGTTTTGCCCGGCACCATGCAAAGCTATTGAACATGTCTCTTGCAGGATAACAAGCTCACAGTCAAAGTACAGTGCAGATATACCTGTGTATAGCCACACAGGCAATCATGCAGTAGGGCTTTCCATTGAGTGTTGACAGCTTGTGCCATTGCCTGCTGTAAAGGACAAAATCCACTATGCTAAGAAGAGAAGGGGTTTGCAGCCTTTGCAATAATTGGTTTGGTGGAAGGGCTGGATCCTTGGGCTGGGGACGTGAAGAGGTGCTGTCAGTACATTCATTGCTCTTGCCATTCCTAGTCCTGGGCTCAGATCTGTTAGGTCCCAAGGTACAAGCACTGAACTCTGGTGTGGCTTCTGGGATTTGGCAGAATAGGGAACTTGCTAGGTTCTGGATTTTCTTTACAGAGCAAGGCTGCTGTAAAGCCATTGGGGCTTTGCTCTGACTGACTGCAGGCAATGTGGCTGGATGCACCCCAAGTCATTTAGAGTAGTAACTCCTTTTCTAGCTGTTGTAACCCTGTCTTACAAGAAAAGGGCAAGATGCACACAGGCAAACACATTCCTCTTTCTACAGGAGTTAATGGCAACAGCCACTGAGGTTAGCAGAACGAGATAGCTGCATAAGTTTCATAGCAAAAGTGACATCCCTTAATTGTGCCTGATTTCTGACCCTGTCCTTTTCTCATCCTCAGCAGTGGACCTTTCTTATCTCAGTTGTATTTTGTTCTTTTCCTGCAGGAGAAAATACAAGAAAACATCACAAAGGTAAGACTATATCGCAGAGGACTGGAAGGTATTTGTGAGTCATCTCTCTCTCCCTCTTTTTTTTTTTTTTTTTTTTTTTGTTAGGGGGTTTGAGGGAGGATTTTCCTGTTACCAGATTGGTTTTGCTCCCAGGGAAATGCCATTCTACTGATTGTTACCCTACTTGAAGGTCCATCCTGCACTCTTGCTCCAAATTCCCTCTGGCTCTAGTGATAGTCCTCCCCTTTGACGTTAGCAGTGGTTCTCCCTGAGTAAGGACAAAAATATTTGTCCTTGAAGGTCAAACCCTAATAAACGTCACTCTGTTCCTTCTGCACGATCTGCTAGTTCTAACTCTTATCACTTACTCATGCTGTAATAAAAAATGGATTGATGGCTTGTAGTGCTGCTAATGATCTGTGGCTTTGCAGGAGACTGAAGGAAAATGGGGATCCTGTTGATTAACGGGCCCTATTACAGCTACCTGATCTAGTTATCTTACTGCCTCCTTGCAGGAGGGAGGACTAATGGGGTTCTTTGACAGGTTCATTTTTCTTTCTTTGGAGCTCTTTTGCTTGGTTGCTTCAGACCACACTCTTTGCAGTGCAGTTTTTTTGGTACTGACCTGACTCCCCCTCCCCTGCATCTGGAGTATTAATTGGTGGCTTAATCTCATGGCGTGCTGAGCATCTTTAGTTCGTGTTGACTTTAACAGGATTTGAGACTCCTGCAGAGTGCTTCCTAAAGACTAAACACTATGGCTCTGCTGAATGTGCCTTTTCATGTTGTGTGATGATGGAGGAAGCTGGCAGACTTGCTATCACATTGTGCTGAAGATGACCACCCCAGTGCAGCACTGGTGGGACAGTCTGTGCATGTGCTTGTGTGTCACAGCCACAGGAAACTGAAGTGTGGTGGCCTGACTCACTGATGAGGTGTGTTTGAGCTGTGACAGGTCGGTGGAAAATGCTGATTTGGAGATCTCTGTGCTGAACCGTGCAGGCGGGTATTGCATGGTGTGAGATGCAGAACAGAGAGCAGGTAGATACATTTCCAGTTGTTTTCCTAAATGTGGAGCTGACACTAATTCTGCATGCAGCTCTACTTTTTCCCCCACATTTCCCTTGATGTTACCATGTTAATTATGACAAAGTCTGTGGCTAGAGGTGTTGATTTGGTGCAAGAGGATTTGTTCTGGGCCTGAAACGGTTTGCTGAATGAAGGATTGCTCTGTGTGTCTAGCACTGCCTGCATTGTCCTGAGCACCACATCTTATTTGGGTGTGTTTTCTGTGTATATAACTACAGCATCAGGGAGGTTAGTGTTCAGCATCTCTTCTGTACAGGAGAGTTGCTGCAAGCCTCTGAAGAGAGACGAAGTGTGTCACAGGCTCCTACAAACCCAACAGCTTGACCAACAACATACAGAGAATTAAATACATCAGAAATGACAACCTTCTTAAATGTACCATTACAGGGTTAAGCCCTGTGCCCCATGCGATTTCAGACTTTCTCTTTTTCACTCTCCCCATATTTGGTTTGGGCTTTGTGTCCTGCGCAGTCACCTGCCTGGCTGCTGGGCAGATGATCTCTGTGGACCTCCCTTGTGAAACAGCTGGTGTCAGCTCTGCGGGGCAAGGAGCCACACAAGGAACCTGCACACAGCAATTGCAGAGCAGCTACTCGTAACATCCTGGCTCAGCTGGCACTGACTGCTGGCCAGAGGGCTGGGTACTGCAGTGAGGGAGCTGCTGCGCCTGGCAGCCGTGCTTTGCATGCACCTAGGGCAAACTCACTGGCTATGGAGGGAGCTTCTGACTTGGATTTGCCAGCTGCTGTGTGGTTAAGGTACAGCACTAAATAGGGAAATGGCATGTGTTGCCATCTGATGCAGAAATGTGGTGTGCAGGAAAAGGCAGTGGCAATGCATTGAAGGGCTGGTTTGAGGTAGCATCTCTCTAAGTTTGTAATTCCAGAAACACACATAAACCGATGATTTGGCTCAGGTCTCTGCCTTCAATTCCCACATTCATCTGTTGTGGGATTTTCTTCTTTTTCATTCATTATGTTTATTTCAAAGCAATCTTTGCTGTTCTTTTGTCACCAGGCTCTGGAGTGTTACTGGCAGCTCCGGTGAAATGATCTTTTGTTTGCTTTTGCATCTTCTTCCTCTCTTCCTCTTTGGGGAATGGTATTCATAATCACATAATGATGCATAAGTGGTAGTGAACAGCACTTGACTACACAGGAGAAATGCTGCTGTCCTCTGTAACTTGCAGTGTAAAGAAACACTTTCCACTGAGTGCAAATCTGTTGGGAAGGAAGATATGCAAGAAAAATATGAGAAGAAAGAGTCAAAGTAAAATCTGAGTGGTACTAAAAATGTAATTGGAAATGCCAGGTACTGACTTCTGTATTGATCATTCTGTTAACTGAGTTGGCTGAAATGCTTTTGTAACAATAATATATTGATATGATTTTCCTCATAAACTTGGAACTTTCACAGCTGTCTAGACAACCCTAATTTCATTAGTCCCAACCTAGTAATTGCATCTCAACCACTGAGCTGTGATGTAGATTAATCACAGCAATACTGAAGAAGTAGGATATTTAATCAGAACTCAGGTCATCTGTCATTCTTCCATCTTGTTCACCTTGGGTAAGTGTAGAGTAGACAGTTTATTAAATAGTAACTAGAGAGGTAGTCAGCAAGAGGGAGAACTAAGTGGGAAGCTGAAACTCTCATGACCTTCCAGGTCCTGAGTTGTTTCTGCTTTTTCTGGAGCACCTGAGACCTATTTGTTTGGTGAGGCTCCCAGTTTACCTGAAGATACCAGCTGTGGTGTGCCCATGTTTTCTGGGAGGTATTTAACACCTTCAGCTTACAGGGAGATTAAAAGAAATGAACCCTTCAAGTAGCCTTTAGCAATCCCTTCCTAGGTTAGGTTCATCTGCTTGGGTGAAGTTCAGCCAGTGAAGTTGGTTTAACATTTGTAAGGACTGTGGGAAGTTCTATTTATGTTCTCAGAATTTTTCAAGTAAGTAGTCTGTGCATTAGTTTACAAGATATGCTTTTTATTTTATTTTACTTATTTATTTTACTGTTACAATCCACAGTAATGTGTTTGTACTCATCCAGTAACATGGAATTGCGTGTGTTGCTATTTTGGTGTAAGTGCATGTTGCTGGTTAATTGTACAACTTAATTTTCCATTAAGATGCAAATGGTTCTCGTAAAGTGAACTCATTTTAGAAAAAAAAATGAGTAAAAAGAGTCCTGATATTTTATCCATCCATGGACAAAATGTACATATTTTTTTGTCTTTAACTTAGCTGCTAATGTTATACACGAATTACAGAACAGAAAAGGAAATGTACTCAAAGTGCCTTTGAAATACAGCTGTGACACTGCAAGAAGCATTGTAAAAGGCCTTGCAAATTGTTAATGTGATTTCTTTGAAAGAAAGAGAGAGAGAAAGGAAGGGAGGAAGAAAGAAAGGAAGAAAGATTGCATCCTAATTATAAAAGTCAGCTTGTGATACTAACCACACGGCTGGAACATTGTCTTCACTAATTTTCGTAAGCATTTTGTTGTTTCTTCTTCAGACAATCGCTCAGCAAACTCATAAGTAAAGGTGTTGTCTATTTCTTTCCCTCACTTTCCTTTTCTTTCTCCTATGTGTCTCTGCTTCTCAGTTCCATTTTTCTCTAGTATTTAGTTAATACTCTCTGGGAGAGAAAATGTGAATGTGAACACATGCTTTCTTTTTTAAAAAAAAAATATATATAAATGTGTTAGTGTGGAGCACAAGGAGAGAAACCATGCGTGCACAAATGTTGCTATACACAAAATAAATAGAAAACTGTATTTTTTTATCCTCCCAGCTTTAGTTGATGAACATCTTCACGGTTACTCGTACTGATACCTCTTTAGATGAAAACAATCCACTGTTTCTTTTGGATTATTTCAAAATTCTGGTAACTTTCCAGCCTTGCAAGTCTCATTCTAAGTACCCTTTAAGTTGTGCACTTACTCGGGATCAGATCCTGTAGCTTTACCATGTTGAAGAAACTCTGCTGGGGTTAATCTTGTGCTTTAGCGCTACTAGGACACACTAAGGAGATCTCTGTTTGAGGAGGCATCAGTGCTCTCTCAAAGCTGACCGTCAAAGAGCCTTATGTATGGTGGTTGTTGTCATTACCATTGATAGAGAACCATCAAATAATGTAGACTTGAGGGGACCTCTGGAGGTTGTCTGTTCCACCTCCTAGTACTTCAGAACATCATTATGTTTTTTATTTACTCTTGGCATTCATCATTTGACTCAATTTGAAAATATGTTTAGTCCTATAGCACTTAGTTCTGACATCATTTAATTTTCATAGCTTATCTATTGACCTTGCAAGGTTATCTTAATTACAAATAATAAAAATAACCCTAATTCCTTAATCCCTGCAAGTAATTATAATACCGCTTAGCTCAATTTTTTCTTTATTGCTAGAGTTGCTCATATATATATATATATGAATGAATGATGCATTAAAGGATGATATCCTAATCATTAGCATACACAAGCAAATGCACAACTTGATACGTCAGACTTCTTTGTAAAGTGTAAAGTCTTTTGTGTACTGAGACTTCATCAACTCTATATTACTTCAGTAGGTCTTTATGAAACTCTGCATTTCAGGGAAACTGATGATAATGTTTAAATAAATAAAGACGGCTGGGCTTTCTGCAAAGTGAGATCTATAAACTTATTTCTGTAATATTATAGGTGGAGCTGGTTCTGTTAATTTTAATGAACATTTAATTTCAGTAAAAAAGGTATTGATTTGTTGAGTGCTATTTATTAAGTGCACTGCAGAATCATAGGTATATAGGGAAAAATTGAAAATGGTCATTTAAGTAAAGCTTATAATTAATCTGCACGTGAAGGGGCCAAATTAAAGTGGCATTGGAAACCCTCATTTGGTATTTCCAAGTTTTCTGGGCACTTGAGTTTGCAACCTGAATGATCTAATGCATTTTAAGTGCAATAAGATACTGGCAGTGTTACAGAGCTCTGAGTAAAAAATCATGGTTCGAGTTAACAAAAGCTAAGTGGAGTTTGGGCTTTAATGCATGGAGAGGGAATTGGGCATTCATGGAGGAAGCTAATATTACTTGGCTGAGTAGGGAAACATCATGTTGGGAGGATTGGAGGAAACTTACCTTCTGGAGAATCCCAGCTTTGTTCTCTTAACACTTTCTATAAGAGGAAAACATTAAAAATGACTGACATTTTTACATATTCTCCCTCTTCTTTTCTTTTCTCTTCTCCTATTTCCTTCTGTGTATGGGAGTTGGAAGGTGCAGTGACTTTGGACTCCATACAGATACGCATTTTTTTCCTGCTCTTGACATCTTGCTAAGTTTTTCCTACATAAAATGAAGCAGCTGTTTCTTAATATGATGGTTTAATATGATATTAGAGGGAGGTATAAATTTTGGATTCTTGACATGAGTAGTAGGGACTTATTTGCTTTTTCCAGAGTAAGAGTAAATTCAAAATAATTCTGAAACATGACTAAACAGTGCCAAATCATTCTTACTGCTATATATTACCATTATTTTATCAAGATCTATTCTATCTCATCACATTTCATAGTTTTGAATAATTATTTAAAAATGTAAGCTCTAAATGATTAATTACTATTAAAATATTGAATATATTAGACATAATTTTTCCAGCTTATTTGTAATATATTAAAAAAATTGTGCAAAATTTATTTTAACAATAGCACATCTTGCATGATATGGAATGGATTCTGACAGATATGAAAATGGCAAATGTAGGTTATGCTACTGAAATATCATGACAACAAGTTTCCTTCACAATAAAAAGAAAATTATTTTGAGTTTTTTTCCTAAATATACTCATGCTTTGGTGAAATTCAGTCGCAAACTTCAGTGTCTTTTCAGTATAGCTGATAAGACACCTTTGCTTTTGCATTGGTCCTTTGTTCATATATGATATAGATTTTCGTAGTTTAATTGTTGTATTTTTTTAGATTTATGTTTTACAGACACTGTACAGAATTGTTTTAAGATTTTAGATCATATTTTTTGCTGGACCCTGGAAATACATACATGCTATTCTTGCAACAGCTGAAAGGAAACCAGACTATCTGTACCAATTTGTAAGAAGTTATTTACAATCCCTACATTTGCAAGGCTTGTTCCCTTTTTGTTAGAGTAAGACTAGTACGAAATGAAAATTAGGTTCAAAAGTCATGGACTTTAATAAAGATTGTTCTGTACCTGAAACTCAAACCAAAATGACTTTGAGAACTATACGTTTTTTTTTGTTGTTGTTGTTGTTTTCCTTACAATACTTTGGCACTTCTGTTTTTGCCAATTGGAACCAGACAAGATAGTTCACATATGAATTTGGAAGCTGCATGGGAGAAGAATAAACCAAGTCTCCTGGCACCTTCCTATTGGGTTAGTTTGGCTTCTTTCAGTGACATCCAACACTGTTCATACTGACTTATTTTTAGTTAAATTGAAGTGGCTTGCTTTTTTCTTTGAGGTTTTGCAGGTTTTCATTCTTCATAGACATGGAATGTAATTCTGCTTTTGGGTACACTGCTAACAGTAAGTGTTCATTTCTGTTTTAGCTGATCTCAGATACTTTACAGAAGCGTGTTCAGAGAATTAGATTAGAATGTGGTAAGGGGATGTAAGAGGGAATTCTTCTCCCATGATTTACACATAATTTCTATAAGAAGGATAATAAAACTTCATGAAGAACTCAGTTAAGCTCTATATTATGACTTACTAGACATGATCTTCCTGTAAAATACAGAATCACAGAATTTTTCTAGGTTGGAAGAGACCTCAAGATCATCGAGTCCAACCTCTAACCTAACACTAACAGTCCCCACTAAACCATATCCCTAAGCTCTACATCTAAACGTCTTTTGAAGACTTCCAGGGATGGTGACTCCACCACCTCCCTGGGCAGCCCGTTCCAGTGCCTCACAACCCTTTCAGTAAAGAAATTCTTCCTAACATCTAACCTAAAACTCCCCTGGCGTAACTTTAGCCCATTCCCCCTCATCCTGTCACCAGGCACATGGGAGAACAGGCCAACCCCCACCTCTCTACAGCCTCCTTTAATGTACTTATACAGAGCAATAAGGTCACCCCTGAGCCTCCTCTTCTCTAGGCTGAACAAGCCCAGCTCCTTCAGCCGCTCCTCGTAGGACTTGCTCTCCAGGCCCCTCACCAGCTTCGTCGCCCTTCTTTGGACCTGCTCAAGCACCTCGATGTCCTTCTTGTAGCAAGGGGCCCAAAACTGAACACAGTACTCGAGGTGCGGCCTCACCAGAGCCGAGTACAGGGGGACGATCACCTCCCTAGCCCTGCTGGTCACAGTGTTTCTGATACAAGCCAGGATGCCGTTGGCCTTCTTGGCCACCTGAGCACACTGCTGGCTCATATTCAGCCGACTGTCCACCATCACTCCCAGGTCCTTCTCTGCCTGGCAGCTCTCCAACCATTCCTCTCCCAGCCTGTAGTTCTGCTTGGGGTTATTGCGCCCCAGGTGCAGGACCCGGCACTTGGCCTTGTTGAACTTCATACAGTTGACCTCAGCCCATCGGTGCAGCCTATCCAGATCCTCCTGCAGAGCCTTCCCACCCTCGAGCAGATCGACACACGCACCTCGCTTGGTGTCATCTGCAAACTTACTGAGGGTGCATTCAATGCCATCATCCAGATCATTGATGAAGATGTTAAAGAGGACCGGCCCCAGCACCGAGCCCTGGGGGACGCCACTAGTGACTGGCCTCCAACTGGACTTGGCTCCATTCACCACAACTCTTTGGGCCCGGCTATCCAGCCAGTTTCTAACCCAACGAAGCGTGCGCCAGTCCAAGCCAAGAGCAGCCAGTTTCTTGAGGAGA